AGAAAGAAAAAAGACTCAAGCCAAGATCACACCTTTAATTAGTACTATTCTCCACCTAAATTCACCCTACAATTATAATACATGTGGAAACACAAGGTATCTCTTTACCTTATCTTTTTTCCGTTTATCTCTATCCTTTTTAATTTTCTTCTCGTTCCTTATCTTCGTCTCCACATCTGATAGTGGTTTCCGTGGACGTCCTGATCTTCCTTTGTAGCCTGTTTCATTGGCAGTCCCAGTTTGCATATTTTCTTCCTTTTCTTCTTCAAACTGTTTTGATGATTCCTCTTCTTGGGCAGATGGTATGTTTCCTGCTTGATTGCCAGCCAACTTTTTTCTCTTTTTAACTTTCCCTTCTTCCTTTGTCATTTTCAGTGAATCTTCGAATTTCCGCAAAGAGAGATAAAAAAAAAAAAAAATGAACATTACTAATTCGAGTTAGCTCATCTCATTGACCCAGTGACCAGTTCTGGTCATAGAAATAAAGATTCAACCAAACAAACAAAGACACAGAGTTGAAGTCAAAACCGCAGTGAAATTAAAAGCAAAAGAAATGACCCAGAAAATGATCAAAACAACCAAGCATGTATGATGTATTCAAATCATGATGAAAAACATTGATGGTATGTACACCTGAATTTCTAACAAGATGAAAATGATCGACACCCACCAGCACTCGTGAAGACGAGTCAACCGAAATCAACCAGCAAGATGAAAATAATATGTCCTCCCTGGTGGAGAAGCTCCTGAGCAAACTGGAAAAATACATTTGATCGATGATTTATAGAAGAAAACCTTAGCTTGAGCCAGTAATCTTGAGAGCTCGAGCTAGAATACTTGTCGTAATCGAAGGGAGGAAATAAACCCAAGCTGACCTAATGGTGTTGTTCTTTATAGTAATATTATATTATTATTTAAAAATATCTTAAGCGAAATTTTTCATCTTAAAAAGTCAAATTAATTATATTAAAAAAAATAAATAAAAGTAGTAATTTGAGTACACAAACTGCACTTCTTTACCGTTCGTGTCGAAAAAAAAACACCGATCTCTAGTAACATATATTGAGAAATTGTTATCTTCTCTTAAAAATGTGTTTTTAAGCTTTCGTTTGATATAATAATTTAGGAGTAGTGATAAGTAATTTTATTTAAATTATTAAGAATAAATATTTGATAAATTTATTTATTTTAAATTTATTACAAATAAAGTGTTTAATAAAAA